CAAGGGAGAAAGGTGAGCCCCCCAGCCAGGCGTGGGATGAGGGAGCAAGGGACGCTAACTCGTGGGCGCGGGAGAGGATGGAGCTTCCCAAACGCTGGCTCGAGTCCCTGCTACAGCCGAAATCCGCCAAAAAAAAAATGTGGTCCGGGTGGGGGGAGCCCCTGATGCGAACACCCACGTTTTCCGCGCCCGAGGGTCACCCGCATCCCATTTGGTTGGGTTTCTCCCCAAGATCCCACTGATGGGAGAGGGAGACGCTTCCAGGAGGGAATTTTGGCGCTTACCCCTCGATAGCAGGAGACCTGTCGGGGCGCGAGCTGCCCCGGGATCTGTACCTCCGCGTCATGGGCAATCGCGGGGGTCGGCTTGGTCCCCAGAGATCGGCGTGGGCTTGGTGGCCCCTCTCGTTCTCCCTGCTGTCTTGATCCAGGGAGCTGCTGCTCAGGAAGGGTCTGAAGTCGGGAAAGAACATTGTGTGGTCCAAATGGTCCCAAAGCTGGGGGGAGAAAAGGGGAGACACAAACCCCGCGGAGTTCCATCACTCGGCCCGGTGACTCCGCTGCCGACGCGGAGGCGGGGACGTCCACCTCGACAGAAGCCACGGAGCCAATTCCGATGGTTACCATGGCTCCCAGAAAAAAAAAAGTCTAGCCAAAAATGCTTAATTATAGCCCAAACTCATCAGCTCTACACCCCCCGGGAAAAGCAACGCGTCAGCTCCTTCCCGTCACGTACAGATCCCGGGTGTTTCGGTGCCCGAGGGCGCTGCGAAGGCTGGGATTTGGGGGAGACCCAAATCCGGGGGCTGCGGATCCTCAGCGCCGCAGGAGCCGAATGGACGTGGCCAAAGGGAGCCCAACAGGAGGGTTCGTGTCTCCAGCTGCGTCCCCAGCTCCGTGCAGGGTGGCACAGAGGGGTCAGCAACACCACGCGGGGCCGACGTCCCGGGATTTGGTAGGGTCAAGCCACGCGAGTCGAGGCGTTTTCCGGGCCCTACGGCATATCCACCTGCTGCTGGAGCTGCCAAAACCCTCCTCTGCCTCGGGCAGGGCCATTCGCCAGCCCCGAGCCCGTCCGAGGGGAGCGGAGAGACAGAGTGGACAACGGAGACCCGCGGGGGGATCCTCCGCCTGGACGCCCTGCCGAGAACCCCTTCACCTGCAAAACCCATCTGCTTGTATTCCTCCCGTAATTCCGACCGCCCATGGATTACAGGAGGGCATCACGGGTTCACGATGCAAGTTTATGGAAGAACACCACCGGGATGCAACAAGCCAAGGAGTCGGCCAAGGAATGCCCCTGGAGCGAGCTGCCGCTCCGCACCGCCAAAGCCGTGTCGGCAGGAGCGGTGCCCTCTGATTTCCTGCAGGAATTCAAGGCTCCAGAGAGCCAGTCAACGCCATCGGAGGCGGCCGAATCTCCGTTTCGCACCGAAACGAGCTCACTTCCCAAGCTTCTCGCCTCGCCGGGTTCCGTCGGAAAGGGAGACGTCAGGTTTATGCCCTGTTCTTGGAATTAACACCCCGCAGGCGGGAGCTCTGCTTGTCTTCCCGCTGGATACAGTCGCGACAGCGCCCTGCCCGCTGCGAGACAGCTTTCGCTTCTTATTAAGGCCAAAGCGACAACGCAGACCCCCCCCATCTACCCGGGGGTGATCCCAGGCGACTCGAGGCAGCGGGAAGTGACCCTGGGCGAAGCGAGGAACAGCTAAAACTCCTCAGTAACGGAGCCGATGGATAACCCGGTCTCCGAGCAGGGCCGGTGGTAACGGAGACCCACAGGAATCTGATTTCCATCTGCTCTACCCAGCTCAGCTGAAGCCCTGAAGGGAAACTGAGCCCTGAGGGATGGAGCCAGGATCGGATTTAAGCGTCCTTCCTTCCCGGGGTCGGGAAGACGAGCTGCCG